CCTCCCGGCGGATGGGATTTTGGGGTGATGGTGGGGTTCGGAGCTGAAGGCCAAGGAAGAATTCTTGAAGACGTCGTTGGTGCAAAAAGGTGATTTTATTGAAGCACGGGGACAGGACCCATGGGCAGAAAGAGGGGCACTGGGGTTGCGGAGAGTGACCGATTATATACCCTCAGGTTGGGAGGGCCTTAGGGACAGCGTAAGTCTCTAAGGAATTTTGGAAGCCGGGTTTCCAGGACCTTGAGGGGCGAGCTGTTACTAGGAAAATGTCATTTATTACTGTTTAGTAAAACCTCAGTCATGAGACCCCTCGGATGTATATCAGGGACCATATGCTTAGAGTATAATTGCCAACAAATACTTGGGGGCTAAAGATCAAGGAGGTTTGCAAAGGAATCTTTATGTATTTAAAGAGACTCACAGGATCCCGGTTGGGGGGGCGGGGGTGGTGGTCAGGATAATATTAAGCCAAGATCGCCCTTTGCCCCTAGCAAAGTGTCATCACTGAGGCGGCCGAGCTCCTAGAGGAAGGTCACTCTGCCTGTTTCTAGGACTTTGTCGATCGGCTGTAGGCGGTAAGGGAAGCTTTCACTGGTCTTTGTTTCCCACATCACCCCGGCAAGCACTTAAACCCCCCTCCATCTTGATAAGCGTGATATTAGGGCTCCAGGAGACAGAGTCTATAGGTTTCTGGAGATTAGGCTCTGGATAAGATTGACTGTTTCTTGCAGTGACTAGGTCATCCGGAAACTGAAGGAGACGCCTGTCCTGCATGACTGTGATCTCCATCAGTCAGACACTTGCTTTCTTTCCATGTCCTTGGACAGCCAGGAGAGTCCGAGGGCTATCACACACACCCCACCTGGGGGCGGGGTGCTGTTAGCCTGTACTTTGTCCTCCTCGGTTTCCCCCACGCTCCCTCATCACAGCCACACTTCCAGTGCCCCTTGGTCCGGGCAGAAACAACATAGCTTGCTTTCTTTGGTTTTCAAAACTCCCAAATGTTTCTAAACTAAAGGTTAATTTTTGCTCCGGGATCTGAGTCTTTCGGGAGCTGCCTCAGAAATGCACCAAGCTCCAAGAGGCGGGGCAGGGAGGGGGGGCGGGTGTGAGGAAATCTATCTTTTACGTCTTCAGAAAACACATTACAGAGATGTCTCTGACCCTGGCTGCACATTAGACTCTCCGGGGGAGCTTTTAAAATCCAATCGATGTCCAGGCCCCAACCCCAGGGCGTTGTGGTTTAAGTGGTCCGGGGTGGAGCTGGGCTCTGGGAGTTTCAAAAGCTCCCCAGGGACCCCCACGTGGCCACGGGCTGAGCCCCATCTATCCCAAGTGCCTGTGGTTGTGGAAATGGAAGCTTAATAGCTCCCAGGGGACTGAGAACCCCAGCACTAAGTGGTTGAAAACCCGGGATTGGGGGGGGGGGGGCACATGCAAAGACCGACTTCTTTGTCTATATTTGGTTGTTTCACAAGCATTAACAGCCCAGACCCACGCTGGGGGTCCTGTAGGCGTCAGATCCTATTCTGTGCACCCCACCCTCAAGCTCCCAGTCACAGCCAGGAAGGATGGGAGGGGAGAGCAGGCAGCCTCACTTGGATCACGTGGGGTTTTAGGAAGCCTTCCAGAGGAAGCTGATGCAAATTTGGATAGCGAGCACAGCATGTGCAAAGGCACTGGGGAGTGGCATTTTTTACTATCTCTGAGTTATATGTGGTTAAGGATATACTGGGGGGCGGGGGTGTGTAGGAGGTAGGTGAGATTGAGACAAGAAAAGAAAGGGAAAGCAAAGCAAAGCCAAAGAAAGGAAAAGAAAAAAAAAGTAGAAAGAGTCAGGTCGGAATACAGCCTCCAATGTCAGGCTGAGGGGCTGGGACTCTTGTCCTCGAGGAACGTGGGGGACACGGGAAGGCTGTGAACAGGGAGCGACAGGGTCAACTCTGGGTGTAGCAGGATCCCTGTAAGAGCTGGAAGAGGGAGACAGGGAGCAAGGCGAAGATCCCGGGAGAGAGAAACCCTGGGCCGGGAGGGGGAGGAAGGTCTCCAAAATTCGGGTTTTCCTTCACGGAGCCCTGCGGACTGGCTTCTGGCTGGGAACGTGGTCCAACACCGCCTCCGTGTGGTTACTCCTGGTTTTGCAACCAGGGCCTCCTGTAAGTAAAACTATCAGGCCGCTTCCGAGGATTGAAGAGGGCGTTGTTACCACTTAACGTTGCAACGGGCCCAAAGTGTTTGCCGTCGGCGAGCCCAAATGGTAGCGAGGCTGTAAATCCGTTCCCAATCAAAATTTGTTAGGCCTTTGCTAAGAAGCCCAGGATGTTCGGCCACCCTATTCAGAAGCTGCCTTTTCAGATGTTGCGTTGAAATGAAATGGTTTACCAGATGAGGAGGAGGAGGAAGCTCCATCAAAGGCTGGGGCGTCACCCAGGGCATTCCGTCTACTGGGGATGAGGCAGGGAGTGGGGAGGAGGAGGGTCGTAAGGGAGCGGGGGACAGACTCTCGGCCTGGAGGTCCGCACACTTCCATAGGAAGGGGCATTGGCATTGGGTACTGAAGGTTGAATAGGAGTTTTCTCAGAAAAGAGCAAGATGTGTCGATACAATACAGCAATGAAGATGATACCTGCCGACTTTTTGCAGCTGACAAATTCATGTCTTTGATCTCAAGTTGTTCTGGCTGTGGCCTGGGCCCACTGGACAAAGATTTTTGCCTTTGTCCGATTGAGAAGAAAACCCGGGTTCAGAGAGGAGTATATCTGAAGTACGCCAGTCTGTGCTGATGCCAGGTGAATGAGCCCTGCTCTCTCTCCTCTCTGTGCTTTTGCACCCAAAGTTCAAATGTCCTTCCTCTTCTCTCCTTTTTCCCCGAAAGACTCCTATTCGTCCCTCAAAACCCGGCTCAGATTCTGGGTTCCTGGCCTCAAATGGGACAGTCCAGCCCTCTGGCCCTCTCCTTCCTCAGACCCAGGAGACTGGACCCTCGGCCCCTCCTCCCTCTGACTCGGAGACTCAAATGGAGCCCGGGAGGCTGTGCACCAGCCGGGGTGGTACCATGGAACAGGATATGCTGATGCAGTCACATTTATTTGGTCTCAGAGGCCAGGGTCATGATCCAGGGTGGAATGCTCTTGGATTAGGCGTCCCATGTCTTCTCATCGCTGAGCCTGAGGGAGGAAGACTCAGAGATATACAGAGGCACGGGAGAGGAGGAGAGGCTAAGACAATAAAGTAGGGGCCGCAGAGTCAGAGATTCAGTCGGCCGCCTCTGCCCTCTGCCCACTCACCTTGTTGAAGAAGTAGATGGAGGCAAGGATGGTGATTACGGCCATGGCCAGGGTTACGTTCTGGGGGGGAGGGGTCAGAAGTCAGGGCCTCCCTCCTCCCTTCCCTCTCCCCAGGCCTCCCCCCACCCCCTGCCAGCCCCCTCCTCACTTCCTGAAAGTTCATGGCCATGGCCTTGAGCTGCACACTTGTTTGACCTCCCTCTTCCTTTCCTGGACTCTGAGCCAGAGGCAGCTGATCAGCCACCAGAACCTCAGAGGGGTTGCCTGGGAGACCAGAATGGTGGCCGTGGTGACGAGAGAAGGGCATTCTGGGTGGGGGTGGGGGGTGCATTGGGCAGATGGTTGAGGGTGGGGGGCTCGGACGCAGAAAAGGACCTGTAGTGTCTGAATTTGGGATCGGGACACTTGAGACTGGAGAACCCAGACCTCCAACACTGAGGAGTTTGTTCCCCCACCCCCCACCCCGGGGTGCTGGGGAGCCACGGGAGGCTGTGAACAGGGGAGGCACCCAGTCAGCTCTGAGTGTCGGTGTCTTGGAGCAGGGAGGAGGCTGGGAGCCTGGAGAGGACGTGAGGCGGCCCAGACAAAATTTCCTCCAGCAGTGGCTGCCGGACACAAGGGTGGGAGAAGCAGCAGTCAGACGGGGCATCCCAGAGCCTCGTCACCACCAGTTCTAGGGGTGGGAGCGCCGGCCGCCGCGATTTGCCCACCTCTGGGCCACGGGCCCCGCGCCTCCCACCGCCCCCTGGCGGTCCCTGAGTTTTACTCCGCCAGCCTTCCCGCTAGTATCGTAGACATCTAACCCTTCGTCCGTGACGCCTTTAGAACTCACTCCCAGGTCACCAGAAATAGGGAGAGTAAAGAAACAAGTACAGTCGCCCGTCGTTACCCGCGGATTCCATCTTTGCGAATTCGCCTACTCGCTACATTATCTGTAATCCCCCCAAACGCAGACCCGCTGCCCTCTCGCGGCCACCCATGGACATGCGCAGAACGGTAACATTTTCAGTTGCTGGATGCGCCCATGTTCCCAGCTAAGGTCAGACGAGGTGGCAGAGGTGACACTGTACCCTTCCGTTTCAGCTCTCAGACAGAGAGATGCCCAGAGGAGGGAGCCGGGCGCGGGCAGTGCAGCGCACGGACCTCCCGCTGGACGAGTTTGAATCCCAACTCTGGCACTTGCGAGTGGGGTGACCTTAGACAAATTTTCTAGTTTGTAAAATAAAGAAAATAGGACCTCCCAGGATCTATCTATCTATCTATCTTCCTATCTATCTATCTATCATCTCATCTTTGGAGTTCCTGCTGAGGCCAATCGTTATCCAGAGGACAGGGAACCAGGACCGAGCTGAAGACAGGGGCTTGTCTCAAGGGCACGGAATAGGACAGAGAAGGTCCTGAAGTAGATCAAAGGGCTGGGGTCGGCCAGTGGGTGAAGAACCAGCGTGTTTCCCCATGTTTACTTGCGTGGTTGGCTGAATAATGGCCTTGAAATGCCTTAATCCCCAGAACCTGTGAACACCTTCTCTCACATGGCTAAAGTGACTTTGCAGAGGTGCTTAAGTTGGGGTCTTGACACGGAGAGGGTGTCATTCCATTCATTCTGCTACAGCAGAGTATCATAGAGGGGATGACTTATCGAGAACGCACGTTTATTTCACACTTTCCTGGAGGCTGGAGGGCCAAGGTCCAGGCATTGACAGATCTGGTGTCTAATGAGAGCCTGCTTGGTGGTTCACAGTCAGCCAGCTTCTGGATGTGCCCTTTGGTGCTGGATGGACAAGGGAGCTCTTGGAGTGTCTTTTATTACAAGGGCACTGATCCCACTCATGGGGGCTCCTCCCTTAGGGGACAGGACTGCTCTGCGAAAACAACAAAATAGGGTGGGAATAGTGGAGGAGACTTCTGAGGTTAGGCTGCAAGAGACACTGCTGTCTCCTGGTCAGTCACTGTGGGAGGAACCAACGGCCATGTGGTGGTGAGTTGAGGCCTCTGGCCAGCAGCCGCCCTGGTGAGCTCAGAAGCGACTCGAGTTAGGGGCGCCCGGGTGACTCGGTCAGTTAAGCGTCCGACTTCGGCTGAGGTCATGGTCTCGAGGTTCGTGAGTTCAAGCCCCGCATTGGGCTCTGCGCTGACAGCCTTTGGATGCTCTGTTTCCCTCTCTTGGCCCCTCCCCTGCTCCTGCGCTTATAGGCTGGGCTCTCTCTCTCTCTCTCTCAAAACCAAATAAACATTAAAAAAAAAAAAGTGGCCCAAGTTTCCAAATGACTGCAGCCCCAGCCACAACCTGACTTCAATCTTGTGAAGACCCTAAGCCGAGACCACCCAGCTATGCCACTCCCAAATTCATGACCCACCAAAACTTCAAGAAATAAGTGGCTACTGTCGTAAGCCACTAAGTTTTCAGGTAATTTGTCACACAGCAAGAAATAACTATTTAGTAGTTGGTCCGCAAACCCCTGTTCTAAGTGCTAATATATTTGAACTCGTTAACCCTCAGAGCAACTCTCTGGGGGTACAGATTGTACTTGTTCCCATTTTATGAATGAGGAAACTGAGGCACAGAGAGGCGCAGTAACGTGCTGATGGTTGCACAGCTTGTAAATGGTGGGTGAGGTTAGGGTTGGAACCCAGCCTGTCCAAATCCGGGGTCTGGGTGTTCAACCACTGAGCCCTGCTGGCTTGGGCCAGCTGTGGGCAGCACCGGAAGAAGGTGACATCTCCAAGAAGCCCGAGAGAGCTACAAAGAGCTCCAACATTTAAGGGGTGAGAATAGGAAAAAAACCGATTGGTGGTGGTGGGGAGGGAGAAGAAGGCAGAGCATGTGTCTAGACTGTGGGGCTGGGTGGGGGTCTCTCTGCCTTCCTCTGCACCCAGGTTAAGGGCCCCCGGTTCAAATCCCAGCTTTGCCACTCACTGCCTGTGTTCCCTCAGGCAAATGATTTTTTTTTTAATTTTTTTAAATGTTTATTTATTTTTGAGAGAGAAAGAGAGAGCACGAGTGGAGGAAGAGCAGAGAGAGAGGGAGACACAGAATCAGAAGCAGGCTCCAGGCTCTGA